CTCTGCCTTTCAGGTGGTCAGATATGTGCTGTCTATTCTTAAGGCCATTCAGACTGTGAAAGGCAAGAATCCGAATTCTCTCTGTACACCTGGAAATGTTGAGACCATCCTCTTTCCCCCCTCAGTTGTATGTTAAATCCACAAAGTGGGATTTTCCTCTTGTGGCACTTCACTGATCGTGGTTGTGAGCTCCTAGCTTGCCTTTTCAGAGGGTGAGAAGGGTTATCTGCAGCCAAGCAGCCCACTCCTGCTAGGTACCAGCTGAAATGAGTGAGAAAGGCTGACGGCCGCTCCTGCCTTACCCTTTCCAGGACTGTACTTATGGCACTGAGATCATAGCCAAGTGGAAGAGCCTTTTGGAAAACGATCAGCTGTTGTCACACAGTGGGCAGGACCTGTCGACAGATGCTTTTCACAGGTAAGGAGGAAGGGAGTTGTACTTTGTGCAGCATCCTCAAGTGCTGCTTCCTTAGGGATGGATAAAAGAGGCACAAGCGTGCTTCCCAGATGACTCTCTTGATGTCTCTGTTAAAATCTAGCAGTCAGCTCTATAAAAAGGAGTAGTTTTGTAAATAATATTTGGTTTATTTAGGCTTGGGGCTATAGCTTTAAGCTTAGCTTTGACTTTTGGTTTGTTTGGGTTTTTTTTTCCCCCCCAGACTGATGTGGGAGATCTGGATGCCGTATGTCAGAAACATCGTGGCGCAGTGGCAACCGAGGAACTGTGGGTCGATGGTGGATTTCTTGGATAGCTGGGTAAACGTTGTTCCTGTCTGGATACTGGATAACATTCTGGATCAGCTCATCTTCCCCAAGCTACAGAAAGAGGTAAGACGAGCAGGCTGTGCTAGAATGAAGCCATGCTCTGCACTAGTATTTGAATTTCAGCCAACTGGAACTTTTAAAACACTGGCTTGCTGCCTCGGCCAGAGCGTTCAGGAGTTAGGAGGGTGCATTAGGGCTCTTCTTGCATCTGGCAAGACTTACTGCTAACAGATAGACATACTTTAATACTTTTCTCTGCTTTACCCCAAGGTCGAAAGCTGGAATCCTTTGACAGACACCGTCCCGATCCATTCGTGGATCCACCCCTGGCTGCCCCTGATGCAGGCACGGTTGGAGCCGCTCTACTCCCCAATCCGGAACAAGCTGGCCAACGCGCTGCAGAAGTGGCATCCCAGCGACTCCTCTGCCAAACTTATCCTCCAGCCCTGGAAAGATGTGTTCACACCTGGCTCCTGGGAGGCTTTCATGGTCAAAAACATTGTGCCTAAACTAGGTGAGACAAGCCAAACAGTGCTGCATTTCTGGAATCTGCTGGTTGCCACCTTCTGTTACTAGAAAAGATACGTGTTAACACGGTTGACAGCAGCGAGTTTACACCAAGCTTGCTTGCATCTTCTTTTCTGCTACCAGTACTGTGCATTTTTTTTTTTTTTTAGAGAGAGTCGTTGTAGAAAATACGGAGAGGTGCTCTGATTATTCTCAATGGTTTTTGTTGTATTTTTCTGAATAATCTGATTCCTCTGTTCTTGAGCTGATAGGAATATCTGGTAGCTGACAGGTAGTACCAAGCTATATGATGTCTCTCTGTTACTCCTGTCTTTGGTTTGTGCTAATGCATGGCTGAACGGGGAATTACAAACTATGCAAACTGGCTAAAAGGCTCTGCAGTCTGCAAAGCAGTCGAATGTTTTAAGTTTCTGGCAGCAAACTGTAGTTGCTGGAAATGGAATCGTGCTGTTCTGGTGGCTGGGATTGGCCAGAAGGTTTAAAGATCCTGAATGCCCCTTAGAGTAACAGGCACTGCAGGTGCTCCTCAAATCATGAGTGAAATAGGTCAGAGCACTGATAAAACTGAGTTGAGTTCTTTTCTAACTCTTTTCCCCCTTTTCTCAGGGATGTGTTTGAACGAACTCATCATAAACCCCCACCAGCAGCACATGGACGCCTTCTACTGGGTGATTGACTGGGAGGGGATGATTTCTGTCTCCAGTCTCGTCGGGCTGCTGGAGAAACACTTCTTCCCAAAGTGGCTGCAGGTGAGAAACTGTCAAGGCTGAGTCAACAGGCTTGATTCACCGTGAAGTGTTTCAGTGCATCCTGCCTAGAAATTGCTGCTCTAGTGCTGGAACGGTTTAACTGCCAAATGGAGTGGTTTCCACTCATAGCTCCGTAAGCATTAGGACAGGCTGTCACAGTCCTTTCTTTTCTCAGTAATAAACTAAGTGATATTAAGCACTCTCTTCCTTAAATGTACCCGTCCTACTGCACTTACTCCGTTGTGTTGTTTTGCAGGTGCTGTGCTCTTGGCTTAGTAACAGCCCCAATTACGAAGAGATTACCAAGTGGTACTTGGGATGGAAGTCCATGTTCTCGGACCAAGTGCTAGCACACCCGTCCATCAAAGACAAATTTAACGAAGCTCTCGATATCATGAACCGGGCTGTCTCTTCCAGTGTCGGTGAGTGGCTTATGAGGATGGCTGAGTGGACGCTGAAGGCAGCACCAGTGTTTGGTCCCTGGGAGCCTGTGTTTCGGTGTGGCACTGCTGCATTGCAGCAGCTCCCGTGAGCAGTGAAATTTTTCCCTTGCTGTGTCCCTAAATAACACCCGTAAGGTGCTTCTTAATAACTCTCTGTGCTTCGCTGAAGCAGAAACAGATTTTTGGTGACTGATTCTCCACCAGCCTTGCCTGATTCTAATGTATCTTATGTCAGTCAGTGAGAGACCATAATTTAAAGGTGCTGACTCTCAAAGATGTAATTTGCTGGGTTTTTTTTCTTTATGGTGAGGTGCTGGTTCTTCTGAGCTTTAGAGCAGTGCCCTTTCCTTCCACACAGCATCTCCCTGTGACCTAAAAGGGATTGTTAAGGATTCACTGGGAATTAAACTGTAGAAAAGAGAGAAGGCTGCGCCTGGGGGAGCAGCAGTGAGATGTGCCCTGCCCTCCAAGGCCAAGAATCCCTTTCCTCTGTTCCCCCTGCCTGTGTGCCGCGCAGCGCGGTAGAGAGTTCGCACCAGAGACGTGGAAGGTTCCTTGAGACCGATTTTAAGTGTTATGTTTATTTCTGTGGTAAAATGACACAACTACGGGCAAGTGTTGCACTGAGGGGAATTCACCTATTGAGCAACCTCCTGCATGATAGTGATGCAGCCAGAAAGTGAACTTGAGGGCTGAGAGTGAAAGTGCTGTTAACACAGCACCGCTTCTTGCAAAGTGCTGCTGCTCCATCCTTGGCCTGATTTTGCAGCAGTCCCCGTTTGTGACCCAGCAGTGCCACATGGAGACCACAGGCTTGGTTTGGGCTTAGAGGAGGAGGGGGGTTTTTTGGTAGCTGTTTTTCGTCATTCGTGTTTTCCCTTTGCCAGTAGCAGTGTGGCATCCTCCTCTCCTGTAGGTACTGAGAAACAATTGGGGATGGTATAAGATCCTGTTGCAGTTCTCAAATTCACCTGGCTCCAGTCTCTGCTTTATTAGCAATAACAGTATAAAATTTAAGGAATGAGGATGTGCAAAGGAGGATCTGGAAGGTTATTGGTTGACTTTACCGTATGTGCCCTGAACTGCAGTTTACCCATAGGCCTTCCACCAGGAACGGACCTTGTTTTCACACGTTTTATCTCTCCCACCAGGTGGGTACATGCAGCCGGGCGCTCGGGAGAACATCGCCTACCTCACCCACACCGAGCGCAGGAAGGATTTCCAGTATGAAGCGATGCAGGAGCGCCGGGAGGCCGAGAACATGGCTCAGCGTGGCATCGGCATGGCCGCCAGCTCCGTCCCCATGAACTTTAAGGACCTCATTCAGACAAAAGCGGAGGAGCACAACATTGTTTTTATGCCTGTGATCGGGAAGCGGCACGAGGGGAAACAGCTGTACACATTTGGACGGATCGTCATTTACATCGACAGGGGCGTCGTGTTCGTACAAGGAGAAAAGACTTGGGTGCCGACCTCTCTCCAGAGCCTTATCGACATGGCTAAGTGAGGGCCAAGCTTTGAACTCTGAAGACCCTCCCCCTGATCTTTGTAGTGCAACTGTCTTAGAATAAAGAAGTTACAGATTTGTAAATAATGTGAAATTTTAACTGTATGCCAGGGTTTTTTTCTTAGAATAGCTGAACAGGCACTGTCAAGAGATGAACTGACACATGGAGATCGATGTTAAGGAAGAAGCATTTCTGACGCTTGTGTAATTGCACTTGTGACAGAGGTTCAGCATTTTAGGAAGCACGGGAGGTGATTCTCTGCTCCAGCAGCAGATGAGCGAGGACTGCTCTAGCTGAGTTGTGAAGGTCTCCAGCACCAGGAATGTCACAGCTTCTCCTTGCCTGCTGCACTGCTCTGGCAGCAAGTTGCTGTCCTGACAAAGTCCCTCACTGCTGCTCTGGGCATCCTCCCTGCCCTGCCCAGGCGCAGCTGGGAGATGGGGGATTTTTTGCAGCAAATTCACAGAACCTGTACTCTGGGACCACAGCAGTTCAGGGCACAGAGGTGAGGGAGGGAAACTGAAGCTTTTTTTTCCCTAGAGCGAGAAGACCTGATTCTTCCCAGAAAAACAGATACAAAGAGCTGATTTTAGCAGCACTGGAGAGCTGAAGACCCCTGCCTGTGAGAAGGCTTTTATAAGTCTGCTTTTGGAACTACACACCAACACCTTCATCTGCAAGCCCTTCTCAAATACTGCCCCCTTCCTGATGCTTCAAAGTGTGCACAGTACGTGTAAAGACTTTAAATTGTTCATGAAAGGGGAGGGGATCAAAAGAACAAGCATTGTGCAGCACGGATGGTTTAAAAGGCATGTTTTCACTGAATTACTTCACTGCATTTAAGTGAGTATAAGTCAAAGCACAGCTGCTACCTTTTATTAAAGATACAAAAATGTCCTGTCAGTGTTCGGGTGTTGCCACTTTTGGAAGAACACGATGACACTGTTGGTGCTTGAGCTTCACCTCAGGAAGAGATGCAGCCCCCAGGCCCCCCCTGCAAAGAGGGGTCAGGGCTCGGCAGCCGCGGGGCTGCGCTGGGCGCCTCTGTCCTCCTTCCTGATGATCTCCAGGTCATCGCAGTCCTGGTACGTCGGCTCCTCCACGAAGTCCCAGACCTCAGGGGAGAGTTCCTTCAGTTTTCCCAAGGGAAACCAGTGCACGGAGGTGTCGTTAAAGGTGTCCAGGTACCGTGGGTGGGCTGGCAGTGCCACCTCCTCTGTCCCTTTCAAGACCTGAAGAGCATATGGAGGTAAAGTTGTATACGATGCAGAAGACCTTCTCTGCAAAGTTGAGCTGGTGGAAATGAGGAGGGTGTCTCCTTAGGCCAAGCCCAAAGTGATTCACTTTAACATTGTAGCAGCAGGTAAAAAAGGTTTTAAAAACGACCACCCTCTGCAATCAATTTCCATTCTCATTGAAAAGTGATTTGTCAACACAAAATGATGTTAAAAAACTAGTGTGTCCTACCTTTGCTATGTAAGAATAATCCCTCTCCAATATTCTTGACAACAGCCTAGAAGAACAGCAGGTAACCAGCGTTAGAGATGACCCCCCCGTGACCTCAGACAACTTTTCTGAACAGACAGGTGGGGACAAAAAGGGGACAGCAAGGTGAAAGTGAGCAAAACACAGAAATCCTTGTCAGAAGGGATAAAATAAGTGAGTAAAGGAAGGGAGGAGAGGAAAACAGGGTGGGAGGCCTCAGCCCCCTTGGGGGGGGCCCCCCCCTGCCTCCCCTCGATGCCCCTGAAGCTGTTCCCGACGATGACCATCCTGGACAGGGCCTCCGCGGACCAGTTCCTCCACAGCAGGTTGTTGTACAAGGCTTTCCCGCAGTGCACCATATAAAACAGCGTGGCCGAGCCCTCGATGCCGTGCTTCCCCTCCTGCGCGGCAGAACAGAC